GACCTCGGGGCGCTCCACCAACGACCAACACAGCCGCGCGGCGAGGTCGCTGGAGATGCGGCCGTGGAGCATCTGATCCGGCGTGATCCACATCTCCATCTCATCCGTGACGTCCTGGCCGCCGCCGGGGCCGACGATGGAGAGGCCGCCGGAGCTGTGGGTGCCCATCCCCCAACGCAGCGCGGCGGGCCGCGGGACGGCCGTCGCGGTCGGGGTGCCCGTCTTCAGCACCCCCAAATACCCCCACCGGCATTTCATTTCGTACAGAAACGAAAGCACCGGGATATTCGTGATGAGGCTGGAGAAGCTGAAGGTGGCCATCGGGGGCAGGTAGGCGGGGGGGGTAAGATCGGTGATCGGGCTGCCGCCAAGCGCGGGGGGGAAAGGGGAGGGGGGGCAGGGGGATAGGGCAGGGGTGGCGGTCCGTCTCCCGTGGGCGGCGACATCCCACCGTAGTAGGTGCCAAAGGCGGCCGCCCCGGAGAGGGGAAAGTTGGGGCGCCGCGAGATCACTCCTGCTTGGATCATCTGGAAGTAGTACGTCGACGCGGCGACGAACGTGACGTGGGAGAGCTTCTGCTCCCCCGCGGATTTGGTGAGAAAGACCATCGCGGCCAAGGGAGCGGCCGCGGATGCGGGTAAGGTCATAAGCAACCCCTTCGCCCCTCCATCGGCCGCCATCCCACCCGGATAGCTTAGCAGGGACTGACCCCCGACCTGCATGATGCTCTGCAAAGGGGTGGCGGGGGCGTAGTTGCTGAGCTCGCTGCTCACACACGAGCCGGGTTGCGGCGGGGGGATCGGCACCGACGAGCCTAATGGTGTCCCCAGGTGCGTCGAAAGGCCCTCCTGGTGGGCGGCCTCGACCTCGTCTTGGACCGATACGAAACCAAAGCACCCGACGATGTTGACGGTGCAGTTCCCCATGACGATTCCGGCGCCGAACGCGGGATGGGCAGGGGTCGACATCGAGGGGGACGACTCCCCTGGGGTGGCCGTCTTGCTAATTTCATGGCGAAAGGCCACCGCACACATTACCGGAAGCACCCGGCGCTGCTTGGCACTGTAAGTGCCATATGTTTCGCACCCGCGCGCGCGTTCCCGTGCGTACGCCTCTCGCATCTCCTGATCGGTGTCGAAAAGGGTCTCCTCAATCGATTCAATCACACCACGATACAAAGCCTCGCGGGAAGGGTAGGAGTCTTCGCCTACCTTTGCGGCCTCCCAATCTCCGGCGGTGTCTATGAATTGGTCCTCGTCAGCGGTCGCCTGCTCCGCCCCTTTTTCGGTTTCCTCGCTGCTGGTGAGATCGTGCCCAACCTCCGGCGATGTCGGTGAGGGGGGTGCTTTCCCGTCGAGCTCCTTCTCTCCCCCTCCCTTCTCCTCGCCCTCCTCGCGGAACGCGTCAGCGTAGTTCGGGATGCGACTCAGATCACCGGGGTTGCCCGGGCGTCGGAAGTAGTAGTTCACGGCTGCACTGCATCGGGCCTTGTGGAACTGCACGAACAATGGACAGTTTGGGCTCGGGAAGAACTCCTTCGTGAGAGGAATCATCACAATATCTTGCTTTTTGCTGTGAGCGCATTGTGGTACGATAAACAGTCCGCGACGGTGTGTTTCCCGGCTAGGTGCTGCGCCCATTGTTTTGGCACACACAATACCTTCAAGGGAGAGGTAACTTAAAATTGGCAATAAGCAGAATTTATGAGTTTATAAATTTGTCGCCTTAATGATTTTTTTAGCACTTAAAGTGAAAAGTATGCAAAAGGACACTCTTGAAGCCCTAGATTCTCTGATCAATCTATTAAGAGGAAAAGCGTTGCGAGGCAATGCCAGCTCTTTTGTGTGACTGAAGATAGTAGATAAGATGAAGGAGAAAATAAAACAAGTTATCCCAAAAGGGAATCTAAGTAGAATAAATATGTGGAAGTATTCTTCATAATTATTTCTTTTGAAATCAATACACTACAATATCGCTTTATCTTTTGTTATTCCTTGAGGTTTCATGACAAGGAGACGAGAAACATGATATCTACTCTCAGGGCTAGGGTGTCCACACTATGAACACTGAAACGAAGCTCCAAATTGATAATGCAGATAGTAATTAGACAAGCCATATCCTAATGCCACTATCTAGATAGACAAATAAAACAAAACAAACTCGACCTAATATGTCGCTTTTGCCATGCAGTGCCACTGATTTCACTACCCTCACTCACGCGAACTTATGGCTTTCCATCCTCAAGTTTATTACCCCAAGCTAAAGATGGACCGGATGTATAGATCAACAAGGGCACATCCAGAGCGCATTCATAAACGTATTGCAGTATGCGCGGCTAGTATGTTTTTTAAATAAGCGCCGCGGCATCGTCCGTTCGTTTAAGCATGTGCTGCGAACCCCTTGAATTACCTGGGCAGAGCCCAATCGCAGGTGCTCAAGTCGTGAGCTTCATAGAATTCATGACCGTCTCAACGAACCCATTCCTATTAATTTATCATCTCGGCGAAGGGAAAGATCACCGTTAAAGCAGCACCAATAAATTGTTTGAATTATGATGTGCCATCGGCTATCGCGAGGGTAATGTTTTGTTGGTGATGGTTTAATGAGGTGTAGCTACTGCAGCAAAGGGGCCCCATCTCTTAGGGAGGGTCATATGCTTGAAAAGGTCACGTTTCAGCTGTTTGAGACAAAAAAAATCAAGGTGGTAAAATCCTAATACGAATTCGCAGTTAACGCGTAAACTCACATTGTGAGGAAGGAGAATACGAAAGGATTACAATAGGCCTTTTTTACCCGACAGAAGGGGTGCACACTCACCTCTATCAGTACTCACACAACCTCACTCTGCGGTACTTCGATCATGAAGGAAATAAGCAACATAGTGAGACAGCTTGAGGAGCCATAGAATGTTCCTTTTGCCTTTTGTATATCTAGGGGAATGCGATGGAATATTCCACTATAGGATGTGAGGATCTTTGTTCCTGAAAATAGATAGGAAAAGAAGAAGTATTTATCAGTGCATGACTAAAGGTGAAAAATAGGTCAGATTCCCATATATCTCCATCCTTCTTATTCTCCTTGTACTCGTTTCGTATGTTAATTAACAATTTTTCCCTCGCTATTGTAGCAATAAATAAATAGCAATAATGATGCTAATTATAGTATAATAATGGCCAGAGTAACTGTGAGTAGGCCTTCAAGGTAGACATTCTGTTTTCTTTCGTTTCAACCAACTCTGTATTCGAAGTCACGCACTATGTCACTATAAGAAGCACATATAAGCTGAAAATGGTATTCATAGAGGATCAAATTACGTAAAATATGTAAGTAATTATATTTACGCTTGTATAGAAAGGGGAAAAATTTAAGGTTGCCAGACTAGGTGGCCTACGAGAAAATATCCCCCTTTTTTTGTGTTGTTTTACTGAAATTATAAATTACATCTTATATAATTTTATGTATAAGAAATACAGAAAACATTAATATCGCATGTATATTTCATTTAATCACAAGGAAAAAAATACCATTCAAGAGCCCAAACTCTTTAAATATATAATATACACAAGTGTCCAAATATAAGTGCGTATGCATATTCTTTAAGGCCAACCCTGAAAAGTGATATACTGCGTTTTCCTTCTTTTTTCTTTTTGTTCCCTTTGTTATACTGTTATGCATTTTTGATTCTCTGATGTTTTTAATCGACACTAACAAACACATATTACTGTGTGTTTGCATCCTGTCTATTCTCTTCTCTAAACAAAATGATTTTCCATTCATCTGTGAGCCAGTACCACAGTCCAAACACGCATCATTTTCGTTTTTTACCCGGTATCGCATTGTAATAAATACATGGATGGAAATGTGCGGCCGGGAACATATGTGTATGTATATACACATACATATTTGTATAGAGTACAAAAGGATAAATAATAATAATAGTAATAAATATAGAATTAGAGATACGGCAAAAAAGACGGTGGCTGATGGTTCAGCGAAATCGTGGAAAGTGCTTGGACCCCACATTGTCTAATGGATTTAGAAACAATGTTTGACAACAAATAGTAATCGAAAAAGGGCAAGTAATAAACCAGTAATCGTATTTGATATTGGTTCAGAGAAAAATAAAGCTAGATTAACCTTTATTTAATTGCTATGCTAAAAAAAATAGGAATAGAAAAAATCTGATGTTTCCTCTCTGTATTGGTGTTATGATTCCCATTGCTGCGCAACAATTGAACTTCCGTCACCTATCAACGTCTTGCTTGAACTTAGTGATGAAAAAGAAATACTTCGTGAAATACCAGAATGCATTCATGTATGACTTTTTGGATTTAATTTACTTACGTTCCTCCCAAGGAAATGGGTATACATGTTCCCCATTCATACTGCTGAGTGCCCAAATTACCAAAGAATATTTTATTTAATATTTCGTTTCTTTAAATTTCCTCATATTTCTGAAACGATAAAGAGATAATAAACTTCTTAAAAAAGAGATAAAAACCTTCCGACATTTTGTTGCAATCGCCCATAAGCTTCACGTTCTATCTTAGAAGTAGTTATTCTTGTTGATCACAATTTATCCATTAAGTAGCCTCCCACTGGCTCACACCCCCAAAAAAGTAATTACAGGTCAACATAATTCTCAAATAAGAAAGGTAGCGACAAAAAATATATACCAAGAGAGGACAATATATCAAATATAGCTTGATCTTAGTACAATAACTCAATATACTATTGGGCAGCGTATTGGCCACAGCTACCGCATCTCGAGGTTGCTGGTTAGAAATATAACAATAAACAAAAAGTAAAAAAATTGCATAGACGCTACTGAAAATCATAACGATAATATTTCTGATATCTTGAAAAAAAAACATCTACGCCAAGTAGGCGAGCTACATTATCGTTTAGTTGTAGCAGTTTTAAATTGAAAAGAGAAGGGTTCCGAGATTTAGGACTACAGTGGTACTATGCTGTGATGTGGTTACGCGTAACTTACTGAAACAGAAGCAGATGAGAGCACACATCTATGGATTTAGAGAGCATATAGTGATATATATATATATATTATATATATATAATAATATTATTATTAAGCTCAACTAGGGAAAATAATTTTGTTTCCACTTCCGCGGACTCATTTGGATGGTGGTTGAAGCATGACCACTTGCATCGGAAGCTGTTGTGACAATACGGTAGAGTACGCGCACGTTGCAGATGAAGAATGCCCCGAAGTCATTACCAGAGACGGCGACGAGTTAGGCGTGAGATACGAAGGCATTGTGGGCGTCAGGCAATAATACGTGGATGTCGAATACCCATGATGCGCCATGGAGGTCTCTGGATAAATTTTAGGCGTGGATACGCAGGACATGGATACGGTGGTGGGCACCGCGGTCGGAGTAGGGGTGGGGGCGACGGTGGTGGAGTACAAAATAGGGGTTTGCCCCTGAGAAGGGGGCATCTTCACCAGCATGTACTGCACCGGCGACGACGGCGGTTGCTGTTCGTACGAACAAGGGGAGACCGAAAGGACCTGAAAGGGCGAGGTACCCGCCTGCGATGCGCAAACGACGTGGACAGGGGTGGATTTATCCGGATGGGTCATCCCTTCAAACCCGCCCCCGTGCCCCCCGCCATACCCGAAGCACGGCGCCGGCTGCTTCACCTCATAGAGAAACGGCGGCTGGATCGGCGGCAACGGGCCCTGGTAGAGGGGTAGGGTGCTTTCGGCGTAGCGCGGGGGACCGCGTCGGGCAGGGGGGGTTGGGGCCGACCCGCCCCCGCCTCCCCCTTCGTTCTCGCGCGCCCCGAAGCCGCCGGGGAAGTCGCCACCCGGGTTGGGCTCTTCCACAGGGCCGCTTCCGCCCCCGCCTCCTCCTACTCCTACTCCGCCTGCGCCTGCGCCCGCGGCCTTCCCACCCCGCTTGGGATTCGCAAACTTCGGGACGGTGCCGTAGAAGAAGACCTCCCGGCCCCGGCGGAAGCGCCAGATGTAAAAGGAGTCCTGATGGACCGGGCGGTGGGTGAGGGGGTCGAGGACCCAATTGGGGTCCTCCGCGGCGGCCTCGCGGGCCCGCTTGCACTCATCCCGCACGAGGGAGAGGAGGATGCACTCCATGAAGATCCCCGGGTCGATCCGCCAACGGCCCGGACGGGAAAGGGAAAGGGACGGAGACGGGAGGGGCGCGTGGTCGTCGCGCAGGCGGGGGTTGGACTCGGGCAGGGGATCCGCCGCCTCGGCCCCTGGTTTCGCTTCCTTCGCCCTCGCCGGTTCCTCGCCTTCCTCCTCTTCGAAAGGGGTGAAGGAGAGGACATCGCCGCGAGCGGCGTGCAGGACGTACAGGACCTGAAGAGGCGGCGTGGGGGTCTCGCGCGCGTTCCGGGCGGTTTCTTCGTCGTCTTCCGCGGCCGCCAGGGGGGCCGGGTGGGGGGGGAGAAGGGGGGGTTCCCCTCGCCCGCCTCCACGACGGGCTTCGTTGGGATCGCGCTGGCGGTGAGTGAGACGCCTTTGGTGAGAACTACGGAGGCCCGGCCGCCGGCCTCCCCCTCCCCCTCTCCCTTTCCCTCCCCTTCGATGGGCGCCACCACCTGAATCACGCTGTCGGTGCACACCACGTACACCTCATTCGGCGCCCCACACCCCGCGACGATGGTGGCTTTCTTCTCCACAATATACCCCTTGAGCTGGTAGGTGACTTTGTTACTCATCGCGATGGCGTGGTTGAATGGGATGGAACTCTCGGCGGGAACCAAGGCCCCGGCCTCCTCGCAGCTGTCGGTGAGGCTGCTAAACGATCCCACCTCGGTAAGGCTCGACGTGAGGGGCCTCTTCCGGGAATCCTTCTCCCCTTTTTGTCGGAGCTTCCGGTGGTTGGATTTTTTTTCTTTAATGATCATGAAGTGCTTCGCAAATGCGGCGCAGATCGCCCGCATCGAGTCGGCACTCGCGGAGACGCGCAAGCACGCGTCATCTACCCACATCGACAACGTGGTGGAAGGCCCCCACAGGGAATGGGTGCGACCCCGCAATTCACGGAAGAAACACAAAAACGGAATATTCGTCTTCAACGTCAACATCGTGGTCGGCAAAAAGGGAACCTCCCGCAGGCCGATCAGTTCGAGGCACTGGTATTGGTAAACGTGGGCGGCGATCAGCTGGACCCGAACCAAGTTGTGATCCCCGGCGGACTTCGTGATGAAGATCTGGTAGCGAAACACATCACTTTCACGGAGTACAATCGGGGTCGTGGAGGGTTCACAAAGCGCATCGCCGACGGCGCCGATGACGCGAATTTGCATGCTTTTCTGCTTCAACACCCGCGCGCACCCCTCCGGACCTTTGCCTTCGTACAAAAACACCACCGCACACGGCGTCGGCCGCACGCGATAGCCCCTTCCAGCCTCCACTTCCTCCCGCAAGGCCTGATTCGTTGGGTAGTAGCTGGAGGAGCTCACCGCCTTATACCGCGCGTAGAGCTCCTCGATCGTGAACGCGATGGGGGGAATCCGATCCTGCAAAAGACTTCCCCCCTCCCTTCGGATGTAATACCGCACTGAAGAATCCATGTAAGCTTCGTACAGCTGAAGAAAAAGTGGTGACCTGGCATTTGGAAAGAACTCCTGCGTGAAGGGAAGCAACGCGAGCTGACGAGAGCCCTTGCGCATAGGGCAAAAAGGTGCCGTTCGGAGCGTCTCCGCACTCGGTGCTGCCCCCATGGTGTGTGTTTGTCGTGAAAAATGTTAATCCACTTAAAGGTCTGATGTGATTCTGACCCTAAATGATTGAGACACCGTTTTATTTCCAAGCAGTTTATTCACCTAGACCCAGTTAACACACACACACACACACACACAAGAGAGCGTAGTTAATGTGTTTACACGATGACAAACTGCCCAATAACCAAAAATAGTTTGAAAAAACTCACAAGAAGTGGCGTCTATTAAAATATTACACCAATATTATTTATTCCTTATGCTTCGCTTTTTTTTGTTAAATTATTTAGACTTACTGGTGTTGAATCTAAAAATGTTATCAGGGCAACACATAAAAGATGATCTAATAGTCGTAATAATATCGGAAGAAGAAAAGAATGAAGGAAAGGGCATAGAGGGATAGAGAATTTCAAAAAAAATACAATACTATATGAGTCATATTCGAATCATTGGCACATCACTCCTTTTTCGATTATTTACTAAAAACAAGTTATCTTAGCAAGCATGTATTGAATTAGAGCTTAGGAAAGTGGTATATATATATATTTTCGAAGGGTATATATGAGCAGGGTTACGGGGCTAAGATTAAAGAAAGTTTCGTTTATTAGTTCGTATAGTTATTCTGTGAAGTAAAACACTACACACTAGAGAGGGGAGGTCTAAAAACATCCTTCTACAAACACTATTTGCTATCCGGGGCTATAACATGATGATGAGTATTCATAAAAGAAAGTTCATCCTAAATGAGATGCACCAGTAAAATTAACTAAGAATGACAAGAAGAAACACCTTTTCCTTATCATGGCTTCATGATTGCTGCCACAGATGCTATTACGTCTATCGGGGAAAGAAGGGGAAAGAATATCTTTTTACCTTTTTCATTGAGCTCTAATTTACTTGCTCCAGCTTTTTCAAAGAGATGTATCATTGTTCGACTAAAGCTGCGGTAGCATAGATCTATTCTTTCTGTTCACAACAACGCTGAAGAGTTTTGTTTTTACGGCTTAATATGCAATTCTGGAGGCGATCATCGTTGGGAGAAATTATCCTATTTCCATCTGTCCGCTTGTGAGCTTCAGATTGACGTAGGAGCAGTGATGTCATGCAGTTGGCCGAATACCTAAAAAGGCCTCCAAACCGCATGTTCATCTTGTTTTAACCAATGAAAATCGCCACTAACGGCCTCATGCGTGTTCACATCGTAAAAAGGTATGAGTATTTCAGCGATAGATCCACGCGGAGGCTATTCTCCCTCCGTTCCCACGCACATGTGACATCATAAGGGAAAGTGTGGAAAAAAAAAAAGGCAGACTAAAAAAAAAAAGAGTTCGCGTATGATCGACCCATTCATGTCCAATGGCGACAACTGCCCCCTTAACCAAAGAATCGAGGAAAGGAATCATGCGATGGGGCGAGGGTGATGCCGGGGAGTTGGATTCCGCCGGCGTTCGATTATAAAGGGCTATAGGGTCGCCCCCCCCCCCCCCCCCCTTTCCCCCTCTCTCTCCCTCTTTTTCGCCCCGATTTTTACGACGGCGCCCCGGATGGCAGGAGACGGAGTGCGAGAGGCCGTTTTCGGCACCCCCGCGCGGCGCGGATGCGATGGAGCAGCCTCGGCGGTGGGGGGATCCCCTCCCGCGGGGGGATCGCCGTCGCCGTCGCCGTCGTCGCCGGGGAGCGCGGATGGATCGCGTCGTGGATTTTCCCCCGCCAGACGTCCGGGCGCCCGCTGAGATCGCGCAACCGGAGCGGATGGGGTAGGGGGGGGGACCAAATCCGCAACGCCGCGGTCTCCCCGCCCTCCGCGTCGACCGCCACCCGCAGGGCGTCCGACCACGGCAGCGCCACGGCGGCCCCCCGGCAGGGCAGCACGAGGAGCAGCCGCGGGCGATCCGTCAAGACGAGCAGGCAAAGGCAGCGGCAGGGCTCCTCGGCGAAGAGCGGCGGCAACGACCGCCCGGCGAGGACCTCGACTACGGCGCCATACACGACGGTCTCGTCCGCGAAGAGGTGCCCGGCGAGCTCCAGGGTGTAATCCGTATTCCGTGGCGTCAAATTCGCCCGCTCCAGGACCCCATCCCAGGCGATTTCGCGGAAAAACGGGTGTCGCTTTAACCCCGCAAACCCCCCTTGCTCGGCGGCCCCAAGGCGATCGGTGGGGTTCGGTTGGAGCAACCGCTCGACGAGATCCCGAGCCTCAGGGGAGATCGCTTGGGGGAAGGTGAGCGTCCCGGCCTGGAATTTTTTGATCTTCTGCGTCGTACAGAAGGCGGTGTTGGATTTGAACGGGGAAACCCCTTGGGTGAGCTCGTAAAGAACGCAACCAAGCGCCCACAGGTCGCTATACGGGCCCGCCTTGTTCTCAATAATCACCTCCGGCGAGATGTACGCGGGGGATCCGCCGAAACGGTTGCAGTCGTGATTCCCTATATAGCAGGAACTCCCAAAATCCGCAATTTTGACGTGATAATCCCACGTCAGCAGCAGATTCTTCGGCTTCAGATCGCGATGCTGGATGATGCTATCGTGCAACAACTGCCGCCGTGACTCGTCGAGGTCGCTGTCGGCCCGGAGCGATGCCCGCTCCGCCGCGGTGTGGGGGGTGCGCTCGAAGGATCCTCTTCCTCTTCCTCCTCCTCCTCCTTCTTTTTCTTCCTCCGTTGTGTGTTTTCCTGAGCATTCATCGGGTGGTCGTATGGAGGAATCCAACGGGGTGGTGGAGGCGTGGTATAAATGCTGTCGCCCATCACTCAGGTGTTCGAGGGCTAAGACGACATCCGCGAGAAAACGCGGCGCCATCTCCCGCGTCTCCTCGACGCCGTAGTGGTTTAAATAATCCGCCAAATTCCCGTTCTCCGCGAGATCCATCACCAAGTACACGCAATCGTTATCCTCCGTCACGCCAAAGACGTTCAACAGGCAGGGATGACGAAGTTGGCTGCCAAAAAGCACCTCGTTTCGGAGGGAATGCAACACCTGCGTTCGGCAGAGCTCCGCCTTGTAGATGCGTTTCACCGCCACACAACGATAGGGGATTGGGTGGCCCTCCAAAGTCGCCACCACCGCCGAGGAGGCCGTCGAGGGCGTCTTCGCGTGGATCAACGACGGGGTCGCGTGGGGAATCGCCGACAACGCGCTCGTGGCGACGACGGCGGAGGTGAAATCGCCATGATCGGGGGGTTCGTACACCTTCGAGGACGTCGCCGTGGACCCCCCCTCCCCCCCGCACCCTGAAAGATGGATGAGTTGGACGATCGCATCCCGACCCTCCCCATGGAGCGCGCCGCCGAGGCTGCTCGCGTAGGAAATATCCGGCGAGGATTGTTTCCGCCCCGTGCGTTTCCCCTTTAGCGAAGGCTCCTCGGTCGACGGACACGCGCGCTCCGCCGTGGAGGAGGAGGTCTCGTGGACGTGAAACTCCTTCGTGCACGAGGTTTGAGAGCAAAGCGACCAGGTGCTGTCGGCTCGGTTATCCAAACCGCGTTGCACGTTCCCGCGCGAACCGGTGCGGCCGTCTTGATGCCCTCTGCTGTGCGAAACGAGGCTGTTGGCGCGATCGACATGAATCCGCTCCGTTAGGATCCCGGGATTCCCTTTGGCGTAACTTTTCGGCGCCATCGGGAGGGCTTTGAGCGCGCTTCCATGATCCCCCCCCCCTTGGGAGGGGTTTTCGGGCGTTCGCACGCCATGCCACTCGTGCTCCGGGTGGAAGGCGGGTTTCGCGAGCGGGGTGGGGCTCCATTCCGGTCGACCCGCCTCCGCCTTGACGGGCTCGTCGAAGAAGATCGCCTCGGACGAGGCCGCCTTGCCGACGAGGTAGGGCGGCATCGACGGGAAACCGCTCCCGCCGCCGCCGTCCGCCGGCTTCCCCCCTGCCCTCGCGCTCGCGAGGCCGTCGTGGCT